CCAACAATATCGACAAGGTCTCTAGACGTTAATCGACGATTTTTGAGCACAAGATCTTTGATTTGCTTGACGTGTTTCTCATCAGTTGATGTTGATGGTCTTCCCGGACGATCTTCGTCTTCAACGCGTTTTCTGCCTTCTTTGAACATTTTGTACCATTCGTACACTCTGTTTTTCAACATGGACTGATCACCGAAAGCTTTTTGTAACATTCTCAACGTTTCTGCAGCAGAAATTTCATTCCGCATGCAAAATTTAATGCAATATCTTTGTTCCAAATTTTCTGTCATTATGAAAATCGCCAAATGAAAATTTATCGGTGTAAACAAACAAACGTAACCAAAAACCTCATGGAGATATTGACATGAAATTTTGTACAGATGTCAAAGACAGTGCTACCAACCTATAGTCGGAAGGTTTTCATGATTACTTTTCTGCGCGAAATTTTATTAATAAATTACCGGTATTTTTTGTCCACAATAGTATTTGTGTAGCGATTTTCCAGCAGAACATTTTTTTCTGAATTGTTGATGTTTTTCTATATGTACTGAAGTCGCCTGTGGATGTCTATAAAGTACCATTTCATTACCGCATTGCAATGTATAATAATTGTTTATACGGGCACAAGATTCATGTGCCTTCTTCAAAAGCATTTACAATGACGCAAAAACGGCAAAAAAAAATTGAACTCTTGGTCTTCCGTGGTCTTCATACAATAATACAAGCATAAAAAGAAGAGAAAGAAATCCAAAGTAACAAATGAAGGAGGCGTATTGACCGATGCGCATTTTCTGAGCGTTCGGCACAACAGTAAAATTGCAAATCAAACTAAATTCCTGACAGAGGAATCTTGCACAACGAAATTAGTATCAGTATAATCGTTGTATTTTTTTTCTACATGCGTCGTCTATCCACTGTAGTAACTCTGTAGTCTGTATCTAGTTTTCTCCGTCTGATTTTGTTTCTCACAATGGAGCGTATAAAATGTTTCTTGCACTCGAGTCTTCAGCAGCTCGCACTCGCTGTACAGGAGAGAGAAAAGGTTGAAATCCTTTTTTTTTGCTCCTCTTTGTTTCTCCTTCTATTCGGCGGAAATTGTTCGTGTGCTTACCTTTTCTCATCGTATCAAGTATCGTTATTAGCCTCGGTTTCTCATTATTATTTTATAGGCATACTGAAAATAGTTTCGTCGAATATTTATATTAAAGCATGTGTTGTTGCTGTTTAGTTTATATGAAAGATAGAGAGAGAGAGAGAGAAAATGGATCGGCCGAAACTAAAGCAAAAGAATGAAGAAAATTAAATGAGTAGTTGATGCAGTTCAAATTTTCTATTGAGTCACTGTGCATTGCAACACAGAACTCGGGTTCGGGTTCCTTCATTCTTTCATTCTAGATGAATTATAAGAAAAAACAATAGCGTACGGAAATACATAAGAACAACAACATCAGCTTATCGACTAATGAAAAGAAGAAAAAATATTGCATGGTATGGTTCGTACTCAATGTGTTTGTTTTGGCAATTGCCATTTCAATGTATACTGCTTGTGGCCAGTGATGATTTAAAAAAAAACAACAACAACGTTTGCAGTAGTTCTAATAGTTGCACGAAGATGATTACGATGGCCAAATGGCATCGAGTGCCTTAATAGATTAATAATGACAAAAGACATTATACCATATTAGGATGTATTCATTAAAAGTATTTATTGGTTATCACTATTTATATTGGAAACAACTTTATAGCACTCTGTAGCATACGATCTCTGACTTGTGTAGCAGCATCGATGTACAATCGCACTTTCTGAGCTCTTCCTTTAGCCACTTTTTTATACAATCTTTTATCTCTCTCTCTTTCTCTCTCTCTCTTTCTCTTTCTCTCTCTCTCTCTCTCTCTCTCTCTCTATCTGCTTCATAGATTTGCTGTTGTAATACAACAACAATTCTATATAAAAAAACGCCGTGTTCCGCTTTGATATTACAACTATTCTGTACGTTGTTTTTATTCTAGAGCGTTCATATGCATAAATAGTTTACAATCGATATCAATTTTCCATAGAAAAAATTGATGATTTTTCAACTGTTCTAAAAGAGCTAACGTTTTCGTTTTACAGTTTCGGATGCCTTTTCGGAGGTGTTGGTGGAATTGGCTATTTCAGACGCTGAAGAATATCCATGAACATTATATTCAGTTTTGCTTTCGTTGGCTTACATACATTTCTATACACACATAGGATGACTTTGTATGATACAGTTTCTTACTACTTCTTATGTTAATAAACAAAACGATTAGCGAGCGAGTGAAAAGGATGAATAAACAAAAAATTCATGGTTATTGAATTTTTGTAAACATTATCGTTATAAGCGTCGTATTTCTTTTCTCTCATTGTTTAGATGTATAAAATGTGGTTTTTTTTGTGCGTTTGAAGAAAAAAAAATCAACACAACATTTCAATGTGAATAAGTTTTCATGGAAAAGAGAATGCGAATGTGTTTGTGTTCTAGTAACTCAGATTCGGTTTTTGTATTAGTATTAACACATCGCATCGGCATCTCAATTGAATTTGTATGACATTTGTTGTTGGTCCCATTGCCGGTTTGCAGAATTTAGTTGCTGTCAAAATGAAAATCGCATTGGTCTTCATTTTTTTGTTAATAATTTCAAAATCATTTCTATTCCGTTCATTCTCAAGTAAATCAATAGGCATTTTTGTGTGATTTTAAAATGAATGGAATTTACGGTGAATTTTGAGTTTGCTTCTGTTTTTAGTTTAAAATAACAGAACATCCACAAAATGACAACGTAAGAAATCCAAATTTCATCACCAATTGTGTCAATCGTTCGATCGACGTAGTGAATTTGTTTATTGTATTTTTTGGTGAATGTTGCTTCATTGTTTCTAAGAAAGAGCATTCATATTAAAATGTGAAATTCGAATGATCCAAATTGGAATGAAGTGTGCTTGAAAATTGTCACATTGAGGCACACATTTGAAACGCAACGAATCGATGATTTAAGACTGTGTGACAAACTGCAAGGATTTTTCGCAAACGAGAATCATTTTTATCGTTGACAGTTTCAGTTCGGACAACATACTCGTTGAGTGAGGTTCAGAATATAAAGTGCATACGATCGATTTGAAGTAAAAGAAAGGTGAAAAATGAAGCGCAAGAAAGAAAGAGAGTATGAAAAAACACAAAATAGGACCGTCAAACAAACACTGAACACCATTTTGCGGCCAACATTTCGGAAAAGTTTTCGTATTTTAGTGTTCAAATGGTGTCTCACAGCAACTCGCATCTCCACACTGGCCTCATTGTTGCTACTTTATTACGCAAACAAAGCCATCGACCAGGATGAATGCGACGAAAATACAGACTTTTTCGATGGCAATGGCAAAGACGTAATTTATAGTTACTTTCGCAATGTACTCTACGAAAACCATCAAAATTTGCCGTTTGAATCTTTGTCGATCGTGAGACGAGCCTGTCGCCGTTTTATTTGGCTCCATCGTCATGGTATGGCAAATGCATTCAATGCGATTGTCGATCAATACATCACGAATGTTCAAATCAATCTTAACACCTGGTGCAAATCCCACATAAAGAAGTGTTTCACTATGCAACAATACGAGTTGAATCGAATGCTACGGATTCATAGTACTGATGAACAGTTTATCACAGATAAAGATGTAAATCATGCAGTGTCTGCTGTAGTACATCAATATTATGCACGAACAACAGGAATTCGAACGCACAACATGAATATGTTGATACCGGAAGCGGAAAAAATTGGTGTGCCCGTAAATCAGAATTTGAAAAAATACGTAAAAGAAAACTGGTTTGCGTAACTTCCATTCTTCTTGAAAATTCAACGTGAAATCGACGAATTTCATCGAAATAACAATTATCTGTGTTCAATGTTCATTGTGGGAGAAATATCGAAACAATCGTAATTTGTCAAAGCCATCTGAGCCCGCACCACCGAAAATAGGAAATTTTAATGCAATTCCAATATGCAACAACCAACTGAAACACATCAGCATTGATCACACGCAATTCTATTTCATGGCATGCAAAATTGGTGCACTGAAAAGACGTAAAGGACAAAAAAACATGACAAAATTAACATCAGCTATGCGTAGTACAAGGGAATCCATTTGCCCGTTGGAACTACGTATACGACATGCACAAAATTAAGAAGCTCGACAAAGGAAAAGAATTCGAATTTCTCACTCTCATCGACACCCAACGGACAAATATGTAACGTTTTTAGGACATTTTAACGTTAAAAAATGTAACGCTTCGGCCCGGTTTAGTGGTCATTTCCGTGTCAAATGGAACGTAGATTTTGTGTGTAGTTTCCAGTATATTTACAACTTCCAATGGAATGATTCGTTCCACTTGTTTACTACCATACAAAAACATACTCTGACCGTATAATATGATCGCCACCCAATATGTGTATTGTACGTTAAGTTTTTGTATTTCAAATTTAATGATTTATTTACCGCAAGAAAATCCATTCTCTGCAAACAAATTAGATTTGAGTGATTTGATTTAATTTCCTGCAGAAGAATTTTTTTTTAAACGGCACTTGGCATTTATTTTTTCAAATACTTTCGTATTCATGAACGTATATGAATTTCTAATTTCGAAATCTGAAAGACATTCGAATTGAATTTGACAGTTGCCGTTCAACCATCGTCACTTTGAAAAAAGATGCAAACATCATAATTTTGTTTACATTTTAAAATGTGCTTTGTTTTGAGAATGCATCGTGGATTTTTAGTTCAAACAAACAGAATTCTTTCTTCTAATTTCAACGTATATATTGTAAATTTGCAAAGAATAGATTTATTTACGGTGAATTTTGTGCTTGTTCTTGTTTTGTTTTTAAAATAACAGAACATTTCCAAAGTCACACAGTAAGAAATCAAAGCGGCATTACAGTGTATTTTGTATCGAATTGATAGGAAGTTCATTTTATTTGTGTGGAAGTGCATTCTTCATTTTATATGGCTTTGTTGTGTGAATTTGACTGTGTATTAACTTCGAATTTGATGCCATTGGATTTTTGACTGTCAGAATATTGCGAATCGAATTCAGTTTAGCGAAAAATCCTCACAAGGCAAGTTGATTTAAACTGTTTGGCCATTCAATCATTGTTATTGTTGTACTCTCTATTGTGTGTGTTTTGTGCTTTGAAATTGCGATTTGACGTTGTGTGTAGCCTTCAATTGTTTATATAATTATTTAACGCATTTTTTCTTTCTTTTTTCCGTTTTTTTTTTAAATTTTGAAATAGACTGCAAAATGGGTCGTCACAAGAAGGCTGATCCAAACGCCGACCAAAGGTGTATAAAGCAAGGACTGCCATCAATTATCCGTGAACGATATCGGGATGTAATTGTCGCAATCATTTCGTACTTATCGGTGAAGGCTACGAAGATCGCATGCCTTGCATCGTTACTATTTTTGATGAAGGTAAGTACACACATTTCTTTGACCAAATTTTATTTTTCGTCATTATTTCATCATTTTTTCGGCACTATGCGATCCATTTATATGAATCGATTTGATTGTTTGTCTCTCTCTCTCTATGTGTTCTGTGTTTCTTGAATAGGTCAATGAAGCACTCGACGATTTCAACTATGATTTTTTTGAAACCGATGAACCATCAACGATCATACACAACTGTTTTAAGGCCGTTCTTGTCGATAACATTGGTAACATATCGCTTATGTTACCTGGTTTCCGCAACATTGTCGACGCTGCACACATTGACTGGCCCACAAACGGTGGGTTCGGGAACGGTTTTAAATATATATGGGAGCAGTACTACGACAATGTCAAAACGAACCTGACAACGCATTGCGAGTCTCGATTGCGGAAGTTTTTTAAAATGAGAGCATTCGAACTCAACGACTACGCCATCAAGTACAATTATTTCAACAATTTGTACGGTATGATCGAATTCGAATTGCCATACTACGACGAGGAAGATATAAAAAATGCCATCAATTATACTTATCGTCGTCGAAACACCGCAATTGGCGACGTTGAACGTGAGATGCGATTGGGTGAACTATTGGATGAATTGCGTTGGTTGGGAGCACCGGACGATTGCAATATCCGTGACTTTGTGAAAGAGGATTGGTTCAAGTCGATTCGCATGTGGTCGGAAATTCAGCGCGATATTCGAAACTTTCACTTTGCATACGAAGATCGTCGCGATAAACCACAAATAAAAAACTTTGTCGTTGTGCCGATGTGCACTTTTCAGCGTCGACACATTCGAATTGACACCGACGCATTGTACGTTATCCTATCGAATGCGAAATTGGTGCCTCGAAAGTGCGGTAAACGGACACGTAAAGACGGAACAACAAATTTCAAAAACATCACGAGCAACGAATTCCGCACAAATAAAATCCTAAGTTGGAATTTATTCTTCGATGTGGAGAAAATTCTCAAACTTGTGCACAACAAAAAGGAATTCGATTCTCAAATTTGTTCCGATGGCGTATCTGTATCGTTGATGTACAAAAAACCGAAAGTACCACCAGTCGAGACAACAGATGACGAAATCAAGGCAATGTATGACAGCAATGAGTTGAAATATGCTGTTGGATGTGATCCGGGTATGCGAACGTGGAACGCTTCCGTACGACGAGATTTGCATACCAAAGAAGAGGTAAATTTGTCATTTAATAATGAATGAAAGCGATTGTGATTGTGAATACAATGTTGTTTTTGTTGTTTTCATTTTGTTAGGTGAATTTGCGTATATCCAGCAAGCGATATCACTGGGATGCGAAACAAGGCCTACGTAATGCAAAAGCCGAACGAATCACAAGATTGTTTACTTTCGAAGAGCAAGCCGATCGTAATCGAATTGCAGCTATGATTGGTGAAATGCCATCGCCAAAAGGACCATCATGGCGTTCGTACATTGAACATCGATTACGTGTAATGAATGATGGCATTGAAACATACTCAACCAAACAGTATGCACGCTTGGGACTGGACAAGCATATCGAATCGGTTCGTGCAATCGACAAAACGGCATGCAAAATGGTTCACAATCAACCATCAATTTTCTACATGGGAGCCAGCGGATCAACACCAGCTAATTCGCCGATTAAGATCAAGAAACATGTGCGATGTCCAGGCACACGGAAGCTGCTTGCGGCCATTATGAAACGTGGCAATTGCATCATTCGAATGGTCGATGAGTACATGACATCACAACATTGTCCATTGTGTTTCAAACGATTTCCACAACAAACTCGACGTGATCGATACAAGACATGTGTGGGTTGTGTACCAAATCCAATTGTTGGACTACCACGAACCATCGTAACCAATGTGAGCAAACGATTACTACAAATGCGACGAACAATTGAACGAATGTGGCGCGAGATGCGTGATATAGGCGATGTCATTGCTGCAACTCTTCGAGATGGACCGAATGCAGGTCGTTTGGTGTCAAAGAAGCAACGCTTCTTCAAAACATGGCTACCAAATGTTGCAAACGTTGAAATCGAGGGAGCTGCCGGAGCACAACCAACGCTCACAACTGTATGGCACCGTGATATCGCAGCAGCGAAGCTGATCTTTTACAAAGGTATGCAATCAATTGAAATTGATACAAATTTTGAAGCAATTGTTATACATCTAATGTGTTTTTGTTATGTATCATTCGGTAGGTGAATGCGTGGTGTTCAAGCGGACAATTCATCCAAATGTACGGAGACCACGCCGTGTTGACAACAATCAGCCATTGCCGTTGTATCGAGGTCAGAATCAGAATGTCAACAATGGACATCTGCAGCCGCAGTAGTAGCAGCCCTCATTCAACAACATTCAAACAATACTAAATTTAGAAATTAGTTTATAACAATTATTTGTTAGTTCGCTAGGCTTGATTAAATTGTGGCCTTGCCAAAGTACGAGTACCTCTTGGTATAAATTGTACTCGGTAAGTGGAGTCTATTGCATATACAATAGCATAATGATGATTATGAATCAAGTCAATTTTTTCATATCAGTCTAATTGAATTGTGCTTTCTTTTCTTTTTTTCTTTCCATTGCGACGGTAAAATTGACTGAAACTACACACGAATGCTACCCCAAATTCGACCGTAAACTTGGGCCTGGTAATGGGTGATTTGCGCTAACAATTGTTCCTTGGGCAACGTGGCAGTGTCATTGGTGTACATCGAATCAAAAAACCTGAGTCGATTGATCCGGGTTTTCGCAGATGGAATTCCACTGTTCGTCGTCACATTGAAACCGACACAGAGGTAAATATTTCAAATGTTTTTTTTTTTATTCCCAGTTATTAGTGATTTTGATGTGTTGAATTGATTGTATCGAAACAATGCCATATTTATTCAATTTATTTGTATGGTTTTTTTGTCGTTTTTGTGCTATAGAAAAACATCACCGTTGACGCAAGAGAATACCATTGGCTGGTGTGATACAATAAGCGCGAGAAAAAAGGAAAAAGATATCGAAAGAAATTTCAGGAAGAGGAAAGAGCGCACATGAAATCGTTCATTTTCATGCTATCTCCAAAAGGAAAATTTATTTGGAAATTCTACATCGAAGCTCGAGTCGCAATGATGGACAAAGCCTTTGTTGTGTATTCGCAACGAAAATATGTGCGGCTAAAATAACTCATTATTACTCTGATTCTGTTCATGCAAGTGATGAAACAGCCAAAATGTTGACAAATGGAAAACCAACTATGGCATACATCGGTGCTAGTGGTAGTGCTGCGAACTCATCTATCGGCATTAAAAAACGTCAACGATGTCCGGGCACACGCAAACTAGTGGCCCGTTTCAAGAAACTAGGACACGTTGTCATCAAATTCATTGACAAATGGAATACATAACAGCATTGCGCCAAATGTATCAATCGTTTTGATCCACGTTTGAAGTATCATCGCTTTAAAGTGTGCCATAATTGCCTTCAAGAACAAGCTGCCCAGCCAAACAATGTTGTTCAGCCAATTGCTGCGTATCCAAATCCACCACAACCACGTTTAGTTCCCAAAATCATAGTATTATTCAAAATGGTACTAAATGATGCCGGTGATTGGGTATATGTAGCGATGCAACCCAAAACTGTTTGGGACCGGGACATCGTTGCGGCCAAATGTATCATGTACAAAGGTAATCGAAATTGATTTATTAGATTTTGTTTGAATGTTTATTATATGGTTCGTTTTGTTTTCAATGATAGGCTATTGTGGGGTGTTCGGTGAAGAAATCCATCCATCACTAAAGCATCCACGACCACCACCTCATGTCCAACTACCTGATGAGCCAGCCGATGAAGACGACAATTGGTAAATAATAAACAAACACCGACGTGATTTAGTATTAAGATTAGAAAAAATAATGTAACAATAGTTACTTAGCTATGCTTGATTTAGTATACATAAGTGTGCATTCTGTGGCCTTGCAAACTAATTAGATAATAATTAGGTCTTGATGAATCCAATTGTGGATCATTAAGATAGTCGTACAACTGCACCGCGTACACCTCGTACGTTTGTAGGTGAGTAGAGTTTATTGAAAAAAGCGCTACTGATAACTATGAATCAAATCAACTTTTATATTATACTAATTGATTTTTTTTCTCTTTTTCTCTTCCATTGGTGACGTTGAATATGAATGAAACTACACACAAATCCGGGCCCAAATTTGACCGTGAACTTGTGCTTGGTAATGGGTGAATTTGCATTACAAATTGTTCCTTGGGTAGGTTGAAATGCACTGAATGAAAAATCAATTTCAATGGTGAATTACATGTTGGGTCAAATGAAAGAACAACCATTCACTTTATGAGCAACAAATTGCAATAGTTTAGCGGGACACACAAATTCAATGCTAAGCGAAAAGATCAAATCACAAGATAACAATGTGAAGACGTTGCGCATATATATTTGATTTTTAGAGAAATCCAAACAACAGCAACTCCGGTAGTTTTGTTCCCAATTTTCTTTTCTCCTATTTTCTTTGTGCCAAAATAAATAGATCGAAATTGTATTCAGTGTTTATTTGATTAAAAACAATTCAATAAATTATGTGTAAAATATGTGTCTATTGCAAGAAAAATGTGAGCTAATGGGCTTTCATTTGAACAAAATTTATGTATGTGTTACGCCAGCATTGCTATATATATTGTATAAAACTATACACACTCACTATACTTCGTACACTTTTTGGTGACAACACATAAAGGAATTACACAATTTCATTTCAATTTCTCAACAAGAAATGCAATCAATAAATATCTCTCGAATTTATACATGTTTGTACACATTATATATTCTAAAACGATGCAATTCTGCCTGGTCGACGCACACACATTGCCATTTGGGTTATTAAACAGTAAACATTAGCTCGATCGAGATTTGTTAATTTGATAATATACAATCTTGATAGTTCAACCGTTTACACTTGCCAATTGAGATTTCTCTCTAGAATTTAACATTCGTCTAGCTCTTGGACTCACAAATTACAGGCGCAATTCGATTAATTTTTTATTGCAATTAAGCACGAGATTACAATAAACTAAATTGTTTGGTTTGAATTTCCATGACGGCGAAAGAAAATGTGAAGAGTTCGACTTTGTTTAAAGTTTTTATTGCATCACAGAAAAAACGATTTAATTTATGTAAGTATGTATTCAAATAAAGATTTATTTTAAATGTATGTTTTTTTTCAAAAGGTTCGTTATCTTTTTAACCTTCCGATTTTTATTGTTGTTTACATCGGGTTGGTTTTCATTATATTTATTTTTGATATCAATTTGGTTAATAAAATTGAGTTTAAAATGAAAGAGGAAAAAACGATGTTTAATATGATATCTTTTTTTCGTTAAAACATTTGCACTGATACACACAACCAATCGACCTTTGTGATTCGTGGATCTCTCATTGGTCATTAAACACTTGAAACGAAAATGTTTTTTTTTTTTGAAGCATTGCAAGAAAAAAATAAAATGTCTTACATCCGTAAGATGAACTTTTCCGCACTGTGATCCACATCATGCATTTATTACGTATCTTTTACCGTAAATATGAATTCATGAGAAAACTGAATCTGATATAAGTTTTGCGATACAAATAATTTTTGAGCGACTTTTCAATGCATGTATGATATCGTAATCATGTGAAAATTTGCAGATGTTAATTTTTTCACAAAAAAATAACATTCTGAAAGTTTGAAGAAATGTCAATACAATTGAGTTTTCATACAAAATTTTCGTTTTTGAGCAAAAAATCCAAAATGTTGTTCGGGAGGTACCCCTAATTTGCATTGAAATCTCTTCAAACTCTCGAAATGTTATTTTTGCGTGAAAAAAATAACCTGTGCAAAGTTTCAGCTCATTACGATATCATTCAGGCATGGTTTTCATACAAAAATCAAAATGTTTTGAAATTTTTCAATGAAAAGTGTGTCAAAATATATTTGTATCGCAAAACTAACGTCATATTCGGTTTTCTCGTACCCAAAAAACCCCCATTACATATTTTTGAGTGTTTAGGAATACATTAAATATCACTTTTGGAAGAAAAATTGAATTTTTCCTATGGATGGCCATGGGCATCACACCAGACATGACACGTCACTCTATCAACCAAAGTCGCTCAAAATCTAATGGTTTCTATTCATCGGCACCCCCAATCATCCTGTGAAGTCAGATTTTGAATTACTTTACTTGTTTGAAAGTTATCGTGTTAACAAATTTTTGCGTACAGGCTACGGGGTACAGGATACAGGGTACAGGGTACCACGCACATACATTCGGACATCGAAAAATTGACTGATTCGTGTTCCCTGGAACTGTTCCTAAAACACCCAGAAAACATGTTTTTTGAGGGTGTTAATTTTTCGACCGATTCCAATACTTTACCTTACACACTGGGTGTGTGCGGAAAAGTAAAATCGGAAATTATTTGATGTTATTTTGTAACTTTGTATTGCAAGTGCAAAGAATTTTTTTAATAGAGTAAATATGGTGCGCAAAAAATAACCATATAATCGACGGAAATGACTGGAGTAGCAAGTGGTTGCGATGTATTTTAATTACATTTTATTGAATTTTGCAGTTGATGGCTGGACGATAATGAATGAAAACTGCATGAATGACCAAACGAGTGAATTGCATAACTTATAAACATGTTGCGAGTCGCAATTTGCGACAATCTTACGCTTGGTATTGGTCGAAAAAACTGAAAATATTTGTATAGAATTTTCTGTTCTTTTGAAAAACAATTCCCGTAATTATAACAAGTTGAATGTGGATGAACAATTCTGTTTTCTTGACTATTTCGATTGATGGGACAGTGCCAATTTCATTGAATTTGAGTACATTTGTTTTTACCCTTTTTTCTGGATTGAATACGTAAAATTGGTGTTTCTTTACATTTATTGGTTTTGTTGTTCGGCGGATGGAGAGCAAGAACTTAACAAACGAAAGAGAGACACAAAAAACGAATAAATATAAGTTAATTTATACGATGTGAATGATGTGGTGACCGCATCGATCGACGTAACGCGATGTGTTTGCTGTTGTTGCCTGTCCTCGATACATTGGCCAATTAAATTTTTTTATTGATGTGATGCGCGCGAGAATGAAGCACACACACGCAGATACATTTTCTATAAATTAATAAAACAAAGGCAAAACCGATCAAAACCTTCAGATAAGATGCAAGAAATATTGTGTGTTTCGTTTTTTTGATCTTCTTATTTTTCTTTTCAAAAAAGTACGGGTGTCTTTTTATACCTGTATGTGTATGTGTTGATTTTATTTGTGATTTGATATAGAATGCATAAATGAAATCGATTCATCGGAAAGAAATGTTGAGCAAAAAGAACATGGTGAGGAACATGCGTCGCATTAACAGTGTTGGATGAATGAATTTATTGTTGCATATACAACTGAATCGATCCTTTGAATATAAAATGAATGCGATTTTTATTCAACTCATTCAGCCACTAAATAAATATTTAATATTCAATTTTATAATTCTATTATATCAGCAAAAAGTTAAATTCAAAAACATGAACAAATAATATAAAACAAAAATTTTATGAAATCAATAGAGCTCAGTCAAATCAATTAAAAATTCAATAAATTAGTGAATGAATAAAGTAAGGTTTTGGTAAATTGATATTATGATCAAAGTGATATCAAAACTTTCAATTTTACCATTTCTCAATTTTTAATATAAAACTGTTGTACTGCAATAAAATCACAGGTTATGCTTGAACCACGAACTTTTATGTAAATCGAAACAAACAAAAAGTTGCCCGAAATGAAAATTAGTTGAATTTTGAACGACTACGTTGGAATGAAGGTATTTTTTTTTTTTTGATTTCATGTGGATATCGTTAAAGTATTTTATGAAAACCGCCAAAGTCAATTCAAGTGTGTATGAACAGGTGATAGGACTAAAATTGATAATCACATCACGTTTACACAAAAGTTAGGGTAGGATTTTTTTTACAAACAATTAAGTGTAGTAATAATACAAAAGTAATATGTCAATTGTCAATATCTAATTTTCATTATAGGAAAGAAGCCATAAGAAAACCATAGATTTATTGCCTAAAACGATAAAAAATAAAATTCACATATAGTTGGCGCTGCATTCTATGCAAACTTGTTTTCCGTTGCAACGGACTAAGTGGAAAGTATACGCTTATTACATAGAATGTAGCGCCAACTATACGTGAATTTTATTTTTTTATCATCTTATCGCTTCTTTCGTAACAGTTGAAACGAGGAAGAAGAACCACTGTCAAACGAGAAAATATGTACATTTTTGAGCTGTTTAATCTCCCGCGTACTTGATTTTATCAAAATTGAATGAAATATATGTTCATAAGACGTTTATTTTCGATATCTCAGATCGATTAGAGTAACTTTTTTTCATCTGAAACAACAAAACGAAGCATAAAAACCAGAAATAACATTTTCTAGTATAATCAAAAGGTCCAAATTTGTCGGCCAAACAACAATTTTCAAGATTTGAGAAAAAGTTGACGAAAGAGCCATACAATAAAAAGAAGACAACGAGAATGAACGAATAGTAAGGAGAAAAATTGTCAATATGTATATTGTATATCGAGTTGAAATGAATGAGATGAAAACGGTGTATATCTTCATTGTTATGTTGGTATTGATGTAGATACTGCCGCTTCTGCGATAGCGCATAAAATTTTGATTCATCTTTTATCGCTCTTTTTCGGTCGATTTGAATATATAAAAAAAATGCGTGCATATTGGATCGCATATCTTTTAATTAATTAAAACCAATATTTCACTACGGAAATGCCAATAAAAATGCTTTTAGATGTGTTGATTGCGCATAAAAACCACAATTTAAAAAAACACACACTCAATTGAATACTTGAGAATGAATGTTAGACTCCTCTTGATATTTTATTGAAATGTATCACCATTAAGATTAAGATTTTCTGTGTGGCGGTGTTACACTTTAATAAATCTCACATTCATTCTCGGACAGTCAACATTACTTCGTCCAGTTTTATGAGCGTCATTTCTCTAAGATCTATGTTATTTTTATTATGTTCGTGTGTGAATTTATTCGATTTGGTTGTAAAAAATAATAAAAATAAAAACGAAAAGTAAATAATATAATTTGAATCGGACTATTCACACCAACGATTTTTAAACGTGTTTGACATAAAAAGTTAAAAAATGAAAGGAAAATTAGTGACAAAATGAGATGAGTTTCATGCTTCATGTTCAGCACAGCATATCAAAGTCAAGGATTCATATATGCCATCTATATAGAAGATCCAGAATGAATGATATAACACAAACAAATGTTATAAATTATTCAATTATATAGTTTTTTGTGCAGCATTTTTCTAGGAAATTTTAATTTGCACTAAAATTGATTGTTAAAATAGTCTTATGTTAAAATAGTACCGTCTCTATATAAACGACGATAATAATGATCGGAGTTATGGTTTAATACGAAACAAATTCTATTCAAAGTACTCACCGTCCAACGAAATGTAAACGGCAGCACCAATGATCCAGACTTGGCTACGAGATCACTGAGAACAAAACTAGAACCTCCGATAATATCACTAGTTACATTTCCGAATGAACAACCATTTAACACGCCTGGTTGCGTCTGTATGGTACTCTGTTGATACTCCTTCAGACACAGCCGAAATGCCGTTGCACATTGTGGACATCCGGTCGTTTTTGTACTTCGTATGCTTAACGGCACTCCGCAACAATAACCAGATTGTAAATGACTATTTGTATTTGATATTTCTAAGATTTGTAGCTCAAAATTGCCCGCCGTGGATACCTATAAAATGAAACAAACAGAAAAAAATTTAAATGAAAAACAAGTAATGCTCGATTAATTCAATTAAATTATGTCAACTTGATGAATGATTGTATTGAATTGAAAAGAGAAAGAAGACACCATTGACAATTTGCATTTGTTCGAATATTATTATTCCATCGTATGATTGAACAAAATTTGTTGACATTTCCATCGGAAATTATTGTGACAGTTTTAATCGTTGTGAACATTTAACCGAAATTTATATTCGGGTTTTCTATTTAAAAGTCACATTTATCTTCAGCCGATCATTTTAATTAGAATTTCTTACACACAAACCTCCTACGATGTAAGAGAATCAATTGATTTGAAAGAAACGATACCTTTTCGACTGTCATTCACATTTCACAAATTCAAAACAAAACAAAAAAACATCGAGAACTATTCTCAGTACGTGGAAAATTTGTGTTCAAGGTAAGATTATCTGATTATCGTGTGTCGTTTAAATGCTATATGTTTGTTCCACGTTCCAAAATGTTGATACGCACAATGAATCGTTAAAATCACTGAAAATCAATTCATCAACCTGAACATAAACGGAGCTCTCTAACAATGAACAGCATCTATTTAAAATTTACCAAAGCTAATTTCATTAACGTTTCAAATGTTTAACACACGAATAACTAAAACAATTCAAATAAACACCTATACACCGACTATTCTACAGACAAAATCGATTTTGTTTTAACTCCAATGTCTATGTTGGTGCTTTTTTCTATCACGTTACTTTTCGTTTAACTTATTTAATGGTTTTGTCGAGTAGATTGTTTTTTTTCTCTTTGGTTTTGATTTTTAAACAGTTTTCAATTACACATTGATTGAAATCGATTTTATGAAAATTCCTTAAGCAACCGATCAATCCCAATTCGAGATGAATCAGTCAGGAATCAACGATACAAATAGACAGGAGTCGAAAAACTATATTCAAATGCGACAGTGAAAAATGTAAAATGTCTTAAAATGTAGAAATGTGTAAGAGAAAAAGAGATTTGAATTTGGAAAGCATGTTACTTTTATGTTATGCCATGAAATGGAAAGCAATCCGTGTATGTTAGACAGTGAACCGATTTAAATAAATTAAATGAAATCAAAATAAATGCAGCAAATCAACCGATTAAATTGTACACGGTATTCAATAAAAAAGATGATGATGAATAAGAAGACAAAACGAAACAAAGATATACATTTTGAAATGGTTTAAGCTATTTTTGAATCCTTTATATATTTTGAATGCGTGTATTTAATCTAAAATGTGTGCACGATTTACTTCGAATTTATTTCTTGTCGACTCTTTTTTTAATTATTTCTTTTTTCTTTTGTATTTGTGTGAAAGAATCTCGATTCTAATTTTATAATATAGTGGAAGTGAAAAATGGTGAGAAATATCGAGTACACGCGCGACGACTAAAAAATTGACCAAATTTATTTCTTTGGAAAATGATATACGATGAAACACTTGCACTCGCTTCGTTGTTCGCTAAAGATACAAATTCAAAACTTCGTCATTACTGAATGAAATTTTATTCTCTATTACCATTTAAATAGAATAAAAATGGTCTCGGATTAGTACATTCTTAGGAAATATCATAATCATCAGAATGTTATTGTTATCAAGTTATTCATGGATGCGTTGACAATGAACATTCAAAGTAGCTGATTCAAAAACGACAGAAAAAACGTAGTGAACAATTGCATGATTCAAAACCGTATCAAATCGACCACAAAAATACCATTTGTTCTCGATTCATTACAAGATATAACGAACAAGTGGCCTGAATAAACGTTTAAATTTAACGAATAAGTTGAAACAACAGCCAAAAACCAAATGACTGGAACAATTACATTACACACTGTAGCCAGAAAATTATCTTCGATTATTCTGTATGTGTGTGGCAATGCTGTTTTATGTAAAAAAAAATCAGACACGCCGTAATAAATATGTACAACAACATAAAATCCAACACTTTGTTCCAATGTATCCGTATAGAAATATCACTATATAATAATAAGTCATGGAACGATAATTTTATCATTTGACCTTTATACCAAATTTCGGAAATCAAAATTTCGTTATTTAGTCAAAATTGCGGAAAGTCTGAAGTGGATAACCGAATTGGAACACACTCCTTGTTGCTTGGAATGACGTTTGTACGAATTTTTTTATTTATTTGATCGATATGATAGAAACCGTCAAATCGGGAAAAGTATATATATATATATATGTATATTGGCACTCTTTCACCTCTCTTAAGCTGAAGAATATGTGAAAGTATGACATGGAACTATGAATCACCCTGTATATAATAAAGAATAAAAAATGTCTATCGGAGCAGAATTTTGAATTTTTCCCCAGGTTTTTTCAAAAGTTCATCGGATCAAAAAATAATGTACTTCAAAGTTGTTCAGAATGTCCCTCAACCCCTTAAGGGGTCGGGGGGTCAAAAACTCCCCCAAGATATGATTTTTTTACCTGAAACCTAGAAATGCGGAATCAGCATGCAAAAATACTACTAAGAATTGATATTTTTCTCATTCACCTTTTTTCAAGAATTCCGGACCAAGTTTCAGTGCCTCATATGGGGTCAAATCTTACAAACTCGATTTTACACTTTTTTGTTCGACCATTTTCAGTTTATTTTGTTCTCTATATCGTGGTTAGACAAAAGAAAGCGTAAACTTTGTTTTTTTTTGTGTGTGGAAAATTACTTCGTAAGAATGATCCGTCATTAAATGTGTGTTATAGTTGAAAAGCACAAAATCTGTATCAATCACGAGAACCCATCTGGCCCTAAGATGTAGATAAAATTTGGCTCTCACTTTTTTCCTCGTCTCGCTCGCAGTGTGAAACACGATTGAGGACAGACAACGACACTATCATTGTACTAAATCAGTTCACACGCTCTACAATTGCAGTGTATTGCTTTACTTAAAGCATGCCAATATATGACGTATACATGTGCAATGTTTGCGCATTTGCAATTGTCGTTTGTGCCAGAGCTAAATTCGCCTCTAGAATAAAAGAGTACTGTTGGACAATCTCTCTCTCTTTTCCTTAGTGTGTATTTTTTTTCTTTTTCATTTGATCGTTTTGACTTTTAATCATAATTTACGGATATAATTTTGCTATTTTAGCAAATTGGTAGAGCCTGCATGTGCCGTCATTTTAGTTATTCTCTGTTTTGAGCTTCAATTTAAGCTACAAATTCGTGTTATATATTTTTATTTTGTTTCAGTTCGAGAACGGATTCTTTGCCAATTGGAGCACTGATGAAGGCACGGCTGTTGCTTTACTTTTGAAGTGCTATTTTTCATGGAATTGAATCGACTGTTCTTATGATTGTTTCCGCTGTTGCGCTTACCTCTCTCTCTCTCTCTCTCTCTCTCTCTCTCTCTCTCTCTCTCTCTTTCTCTCTCTTTCTCTCTCTCATTCTCTTTCTGTGAGTGTGTGTATGTGTGTGTTTTAATTTATCAGCGGTCTGATAATTGATTACCAATACATACAGCGTAATTATTTATTAGAAAACACACCCAAATAGCGGTATTTAATGGGTGTTGTTTTTTTTTACCCAGCTCTATGTAGTATTCAAAAGTCGATTTCAGACCAATAATTAATTCATAACTGACCGTTTACTAAGGACTGCACAATCCATTCACATTTTGATGGTGTGGCCTTTAAAACTGACGAACGTGATGGCAAAATTGAACGAAATATAGTTAGATTGAAAAATGTGTTCTAATTTTGCCGTTGAACAAAATAGAAAAATTCAATTGTAGTTCAATTTTATGGAAGAGAAAACACATATCAATTTCAATAGAGTTGTTCACATTCAAAAATTGTAAAAAATATTTGTTGAAAATTGTAAAATGCAATCTGTTTCGCATGTTTTTGGTAATGTTGACACTTTAACATCTCCTTGTTACTTTTTTCATTTAGCCAAACTACTTCTGATTTAAATCGCCAAATTATCTACGGTTGCAATTGTGTGATTTGATACTGTTTGAGATGTGAACAAAATCAACGAAATTTAGTCGACATTTTGCTGTATTTTTTGTTTTCTTTTGTTTATAGGAAAAATTTATTCTTTCAATATGTGAAATTAAAATAACAAAGCAAATTGAGTGGGATGAAATTCTCTTTTGAAATATTCCACTTATTATTTTTTCGATGTCCCCGTTTTCATTTCAAACATTTTTGAGCGCTTGTATGCGGCTTTTTTTCGCTTAAAAGAACAGAGAAATAAAAGAAGAAATGGAAAATACTTTATCAATCGGAACATTTTAAAGAAACCATGCATGAATGTATGTGTAATTTATATGAAATTTGTTTGATCAGTGAAAAACATTAATATATTTTCAAACACTTAATGCACGCGGGTGAACAAATTTCAAAGTGATTGCTGTTTAAAAGTGGTGTTGTGATAATTAAGCAAATATGGAATCTATCAGGTTTTCAAATTGTAAAAATGATTTGTTAGCTGAATGTTTATTGTGCGTTTTGTGTGGGGCTGAACACTGTGGGTTGAACGTTTTTTATAAATTTAACTGAAATTTCCGATACATTAATTTACAAACCATATTTGAATTCAGAAAGTAAAATGCCAGCAAATAAATCTTATGGTATCTCTTAACGATCCATTAATTCAAGCATACAAAGATTTTCATCAGCAGATTTTCTTCAGTTATTCTTGCAATCAACCAAATTCAATTCTTTAAAGGAGAGGGAGAACCTTCAGTTTACTTATCATCGCATTCGTCATTTGTCGATTTGATGCATTCAAATGAATTTACGAGAAATCGTGATGATCAATGTATCTAAATCAGTGCATGTTATTCGCCTTGCTATGAGCAGCTTGCTTGCCTGCGTCGCCTATCGTAGCAATAAATGACGACACACATCCATACATAATATAGATGAATGGTACACGGTATCGCTATTCGGCGCATGTATTGTGTTTGCACTG